ATATATATATATATATATATATATATATATATATATATAGTTGTTTTATGCTATACTCTACAAAATGACTTTGTATTCTAGTCACTTTAAAGGGTCAAAATGTACCTACAGTGGCCCACTAAGAATTTCTATGCTCACTAGTTTCTCTAATAAACAAAATGTCTGTTAAATGAAATCAGAGCTTATAAAATTTGCTTTCACTTAGCTTTGAATTGATAGAAAAATAAAATATTTTTAGAAGTCACAAAATCTTTAAGTCCTCTAGTGGTGGCAGAATACTCATAAATAAACCTCAGAAACAGACCATAAAAACATCTGTGTAATTAGGAGGCATCGGGGATGGGCAAGAAGCAAAGACTCAAAATTCAGGTGAGTGGGGAGAGGGAAATCAATTCAGGCACTTGAGCAAGGTCTCAAAGGACACGGAAAAAAATATATGGAGTGGGCCTCATGGAGTGGGCCTAGCAGAATTAGGATAGATTCAAGATTAAAGATCTAAGTCAAGTTAAAGACAAAAACTCTGTCACTAAATTAAAAATGAAACTTTACCATCTAATGCCTATGTCATACATATGTGAATATTCAGGATACTAAAAATAAAAGACAGTTACAGTGCAATCAATCACAATGAAACTCCGTACCCTCCAATCAGTATCTCCACTTTCATCAGTCCTCCCTATCCCCATAAACATACACATTATATGTCAGTGAAAAATTAAATAAAAACTACTTTTAAAAGATAGTTTCAAACATAGCACTAAAAAATGTTAAAACTATAATTATAGTGACGCAGTTAAAAACCCTGGGGAAAAATGGAAATAAGTTAATAAGAGGGGAGAGTTGAAAAACAATGTGACCACGGCCGTAAGTATTACCTTAAATATCTTTATATAGCCCCATCAAATTAGAGCTTGAATGTACTCTTACTGTATTTAAATTGTACCTGAACAAAAAGAAATCAAGCAAGAAAAGACCTTGGGCTGCAAAACTTCCTCCTATCCCATCCCTAAAGGCAGTTTTTATTGGACCAGTTAATATACAGACTGTTCTGGCATGTAAAGTTATCCAGTGCTGTAACATTACAATCTTCTTAAACGTACCCGTGAGAATTCCAGCCATCTATATTGAAAGCGCCTGCTCAGGTTTGGAATTCTGGAATAAACCATTCTCCACACCAAATAATTGGCAATGGTCCTGTTAACATAGAGAAATGCACATTTATTGTATTTTAGGTCGATATCTGATCCTCTGCAGAACACCTTCAGAAAAACTGTTGGCAAAGCTCCACGGAGAGACCGCCTGTTCATATAAAAATGCAACACTTTCACTTGAGAAATGTCATAAAATGATACAATGTCAATAAGCACAACCAAAATTGGCTTGCCTTTCACCACCTACTTACTACAGAGATAAAATGAATATTTCAACCCCAGGTCTGAAAAGTGAACACTTCGCTTTCTTTCTGGCAGAGTCCACTATTGCCTTATCTCCCATACCTGGAAACTGTAAATACCTTCAAATTATAGGTGACTTGATGTAATGCATATGTATTATTTGCCTTCAGAAATTAACAGCAAAATACTGACCAATACCTATTGTCTAAATTTGCACTTATTAAATATGTGAACTCAGGGAAGTCACTGAAGCTCTTTGATTTCTCTTTCCTTACAATACATGAAGGATGTTCCCTGCCTCACAGGGTTATTGTGAGGTTAATATAAGTAACAAAATGTTTGACAAAGAGTAAATACCTAAGGTTATATTGTGTACTTCAAAACATGAACATTCCCATATGCTCTTGCAATGCCCATGATACCTACTTTCAAAAATCTGCTACATTTAAGTGGTGCCTTTTTCTACAAGCAAAAGATGTCCTGAGCTCAGAAGGACACATGATCTGAGTTAATTTCTAATTCAATAGTGATGATGGATTTTTGATGACCCACCTTACTCCCAGCTGTGCCATTACCATGGTGACTAATAACACACATTCCTAAGATGGCCCTTGGGTCAACCAGAAACGTGACATTAGTGTGACATGATGATACTAATTGGCTCATCAAAAACAACCTACTCTCTCATTATTTGCATGACTCTCTAATGTAGTGGCTGTGCACTCCTGACAGCAAAATATTTTTCAGCATATTCAACAATATGTGGATGCTTGTTTTAATTTCTATATAGGTACAGGCTAAAATATTAGGAATCTTTAAATAAATACAGAACTTTTAAGAGATAATATAAAAATATTTTCAAAAAGTCATAAATTAACCCTTCAAATATTATGCTTATTATTTAAAACATATTATCCTCATAGAATTGGGCTAATATAATGACAGTGCATGTAAATCCATATTTCTTATAGTCTTTTTGACTTTTTCAAAAATTTTGAGATACCCTTTTCATATCTGGTTAGACCACTATTGTTTTCCCTTGTCATCTGGCTAACCAAGATGGCATACTAGTGTGAGAGAAGGGTCACTTCTGCCATTTTATTTCCATTCCATGCTTATGCTTATATTAGTAGTAGTAGCTTCAGTTCATGTTTCTCTGCAAAAAATATTTTAAACTACTGGTCCTTGTTGTGATGCTTAAACTAAACTACATTAAAAAATTCACAAATCTGTAGGTATATGCAAGTGTCTCATGATTATTTTCAATATGTCAAATGCAGTCACAAACCAGTGACTGTAATAGTGCCTCTGCCATGCATGTCATCAAGACCAAATGAAGGGTCTATGGCCACATACATGGTAGAACTTAATAAAACCTAATAATTATTTTAAAATTTAAAAATAAAGATAGAAGTTCCAACATTTTCTTCTTGGACCCAAGGGATCTCCTTGGGCTATGAATATCCCCCCTTAGAGGCCACTACCCAAATCAGTAAAGTCAAGCCCCTCACCCATGCTTTGTTCAGACCATTATGATAAACACCCCATTTTAGGTCATTGCTTCAGATCTTTTGCATATACATCTATCTTTATGACTGAACAAGACAAAAAGTGCTCACTGAGCACTTACTCTTGGCCCAGTGTTGTGCCAGGTACCATGAGGAATGTTGAAAAACAGGAACCTAGCACCTAAGTCAAAGAACTTAAGATTTCTGTTTGTTCATATCATTGGGTTTTTAATTGAAGGGACACACTATAAGTACATAAAGGAGCCTTCTTTTTTTTTTAGAGAGAGAGAATTTTAATATTTATTTTTTTAGTTTTCGGCAGACACAACATCTTTGTTTGTATGTGGTGCTGAGGATCGAACCCGGGCCGCACGCATGCCAGGCGAGCGCGCTACCGCTTGAGCCACATCCCCAGCCCCTAAAGGAGCCTTCTTTCCCTGACTCAAACAACATACCCTGAGTACCCAGATATGTACTAATAGTTCTAGATGCTGGGGAGATAGAGAGGTAAGAAATATATAGGCCTTGATCTCCTGAAGCTTTTAGTTGAGCAGAGGAGTTGGGGGAGTGAATAAATAAATATTTGGCAGGTCTTAGCACCCCAAAGTGGGTGCCAGACATTCCCTAGAAGTATAGCATATCTCATACTGAAGGATAAATGTAGACTTCATGAGAGGGACAGGGCTTAAACTATATCTGAAGGTTGGAAGGCTAAATAATGGGAGACTAGGCCATGCATTGGAGGCAATGGTGAGCAGGATCATCAGTAAAGGAAGTAAGCAAAAAGAGAAGCCACACTGGGAAGATGCAGGACAGCAACTGGGGCCTGGAATCTCTAGTGCATCAATGGGGCAGCTCCTGACCCTAGTGCAATGGCTATATTTTCTTTGTCTTTCAAATACTGTTTGCTGAGTGTGTGAGCTGTGCTGGATCAACAGGGGCAGATTAGAAGATCACTGGCTGGCAGATGTCCCTCCACAAAGTCAAAAGATATTCCCTAGAGGGGGTGGTGATGAGTCAGATCAAATGGGGAAGTTGTGAGGATGGAGTGTGACAGTGGTAATAAAAGAGTCAGTATGTCAGAAGTAGACTGGGGTTTTAGAAGTAGGGGCCATTCCAGCTCACCTGAAATCATCCCACATAGGCATCTCACATTATTGATGATTCTCACAGCACCACTATAGGAGAGAAGTTACTATATCCATTTTACATATAAGAAACATGAGGCTTAGAAGCATTAAGTAAACTCATCACACAGTTGGTGGGTCTCAAACTAGTAGAATCACCTGGGGAGTTTTTAAAAGTCCAGATGTCCAGGCCACTCCAAGCCAATTCAATCACAATCTCTTGGGTAAAGCCTAGCGTGAATATTATTTTCAAATTCCTCCTTCAAATCAATGTGAAGCCAAGTTGTAGAAGCAGTGTAATAAGCAATGGAGGCTAGACAAGAGCCAGGTGTTTCTAGATGTAAAGCCTGTATGTTTTTCTCTACACCACACAGTGAATGAAAGCCCTGGAATTTGGATAAGATTTCCTGTCCATTCAGAGACAACAAAACACTCCAACAAAGATACTTTGCAGAAATCTGTGGGCACAAAAAGATAATAGTTAGGCCGTCCAGGCCAATGCATTCCTAAGAGGATAGCATAACAATGAGACTTCTGAGAGTGGAAGATGGAATGCTGGGAAGCTCACACAGCCAACCAATGGTACTACCAAGTGGTTCCACTATGGTATAAATATGCTGACAGAATGCTATGGAGCATAGTTTAGCAGTGCTAATATCACCACATCAGGAACAGATATGACCATAATGAGCAAATCACTGCCACCTAATACTCAGATACATCAAAAACAAAAACAAAACAAAAATTAGATCAGCAACAGTCCTTGAAAATAACACATATTATCTTTTTTTCCCCAAAAAGCTTTTTCAGCAGTACAGTAATTTCCCCAAATGGCAATAAATAAAGGAAAGGAAAGTATCCCAGAAGAGAACCCACCACTAAGAAAGCAATATGAAATCCTTCCCCAAATCCTCTGACTTGGAAGATTTGTTCTTTAAGAAGCTTTTGCTGCTCCATGGTCTGAGTTAGCAGCAGCTTACATTTACATTACATTTAAGAGCTTATAAAAATACCTCCTTTGATCCTGATGACAGTGCCATGGGGTGGTTATTATAATTAGCTTCATTTTCATATAAAGAAAATAAAGCTCAGAGGTCAAGGGACTTCCAAGAACATGTCCAATCTGGGACTAACATTTAGGTCTTCAGATTACAGTTTGCATTTATTTCTCCCTGTCATGCTACCTGAAGTGAATCAGAGGTTCTTCTCAAACATTCTCAAATCTCAGAAATCTTCCTAAATCCTACAGGTTGCCCAGATGCATGCCTAGAGCCATACTTCTCAAAGCATGTCCCAGTATTGGAAGTTTCAGCATCACCTGAGAACCTGGTAGAAAACTGGCCTTGTCCCATTCCAGACATACTAAATCAGAAAATGCAGGGATGGGGCCCAGCAGTTTGTGTTTTAGCAAGCCCTCCAAGGTATTCTGATACATGTCAAGGTTGAGAACTTTTGGTGAAGAAAAACCCCATCTTTTCATCTTTCTGCATATATGGCTCACTGAGGCCGTCCTAAATCCTAGGTCAGTGCTTCTTAAACTTTAATATGTACATAAATCTCCTGGCAGGGGCTGGAGATATATCTCAGTTGGTAGAGTGCTTGCCTTGCATGCACAAGGAGCTGGGTTCTAATCTCCAGCACCACAAAAAAATCACTTGGGGACCTTATTGAATTGCAGATTCTGATTCAGTTAGGTCAAGGACATAGACTTGAGATTCTGCATTTCTGACAAGTTGTCAGGTAATGCCCAGACTGCTCATGTGTGGACTATACTTTGAAAAGCAAGGCCATAGACCACCTCAGAAGAGATGATCCTCATGAGAGGTTCACATTACTATACATTTTCCAGGTGAGCCTTTGGGAGCATCTGTTTAACAAGAATCATCTGACTTTAATGTACACTGTGCTGCTCTATAAAATAAAACTAAAGACAGGAAAGCTCACAGGGGCTTGGCAAACTCCCAAGGATTTGCTTGAGACAAGTCTGCTATAAAGAGTTCTAAGGCAGATGATGGCCATGTGGCCAGGCCTTGCCAGAAAGAGGAACCCAAGCTGATTTTTTTCTAACACCATCCTTCCTTAGTCCCCAACCCCCAACTCTTGCTCCATAGATCAAATTGGATAAAAAATGTCCAAGGCAGCCTTAAGTTGGAGTGGGGAGGAGA